AGCCTGCCAGGCTCCTCTGTCCATGGGGATTCTCCAGGCAAGAATACAGGAGTGGATTGCCATGCCCTCCTCCAGGGGATCTTCCCGACCTAGGAATTGAACTCAGGTCTCCCTCATTGCAGGTGGCTTCTTTACTGTCTGAACCACCCGGGAAGCCCATTTCAAGTGTAGTTATCCTTAAATCTAGGATTTTTGACCTGATGTTTGGTGGGTTTTGCTTATAACCATATTTTTGGTTAATGCTCTTCTATGAGAGAAACAGGAAGAGCAGCAGGAAGATGATCTTAGTCTTATAGATGCTGAGAAATCGACAAATAATCATCCAAAAAGCACTGGGAAAATTTGTAGCTGGAGATTGGGATAAGAAACTACCCTGAGGAATAAAAGGAAGCCTGAGTCTGGGACTTCCCTGGTGGCTCAGATGGTAAAAGCATCTGCCTACAATGCGGGAGACCTGGGTTTGATCCCTGGATTGGGAAAATCCCCTGGAGAAGGAAATGGCAACCCATTCCAGTACTCTTGCCTGGAAAATCCCATGGACGGAGGAGCCTGGTAGGCTGCAGCCCATGGGGTTGCAAAAAGTCGGACACGTCTGAGCGACTTCACTTTCACTTGAGTCTGGAAAAGGGCTTCAAGTTTATCATCTTCATAAAGTATACCCTTAGCTTTATAACTTTATTATTAGTAAGCCCGTCGAAGTGGAACAGGGGATGGGGTCAGGAAATGGTTCACAAAGTGATGCCTTAGCTGAGATAGAAGAGTGGGCACCAGAGTTTAGGTGGAAGTTAGGGGGTGAGGAACTGAGATCAGAATATGCAGAGTGCCTGAGTTAAGACAAAGCTAAGTTTTTTAGGTTATTTGAAAAGGTTAAGGGAAAAAGGAAGGAATGAAGAGGGGATGAGGTGCTGGAGACAAAACACTCGATATTTAAGGCCTGTGAGCATTATCTTTAAGACTATGAAAATCTTAACATTTTTAAGGAATGACAAAATACGATTTTAAGCAGATAACTCTGTAGTGAGGGGGTTCAAATGCAATGGCAGTGTCAGTGAAAAAAGATGCACAACTTGAGTCGCGAGTTAAGTTTTACTTGGGACAAATGAGGACTGCAACCTGAGAGACAGCGCCTCGGATAGCTTTGAGAGACTGCTCCAAAGAGGTAGTCGGGGAAAGTTGATAGGTAAGATTTTGGTGAAGGGGAGTTGAGTGCAATCAAGCCCGCCTTTTACTATCTAAAGACACCAGAGTCCCTGGAGCACAGAGTGCCTCACTCCATCCCGAGTGGCCTCAGAGGGCGTTTAGTGTCAACAGCTGCAACGCACAGGGCTCAGTCTCCACGGAGGAAGGTGGCAAACTGTTGTTTAGTCACTGGCGGACGCTCTTGGCAGGGGCCAGTTTGTAGTTGATAGAGGCTTTCAGAGTCAGTGTGTCTAGACAGAATGGGGCTTAGAAATTTACTTTCTAAAATTTTACTTGTAGTGCATGCAAATTTTTGAAAATATCTGAATTAAGAGGGTTCTTTAATAGGGCTGTGATTTTTGCTTCTCCAGACTCTTGGAGTTATGGCCAGTAGGGAATCTTTTTTTCCTCATTTGGGCTAGATATCAAGTGTATTCTTTCTCCAGGGCAAGTAAGGGCAATTAAACACGGATCTGATTAAAGTGGGCTCCTAGATTTGAGAAATTTAAATATGATAAAAAGTCCCAGTTTAGCAGTGTATGTAAGTTTCTTTTGAAATCTTGTCTTTATCTCCAGAACAGTTAGAATTATTGATTGGTAAACACTATTTGGGGACTATCTGTTTAAGTGGAAATTACCTAGATAAGGGTAAGAGATACTTACACATTAAATTTCCCTGACCGGAAAGCCTGGCGTGCTGCAGTCCAAGGGGTTGCAGAGTCCAACATGACTTGAGTGACTGAACTGACTGATAAGGTCTGGTGTCCCTGAAGTTTTCCAAGGTTGCCTGTGTGCAAGCCAAGATGTGCCCTGGGAAGTCCCGGGGGGTGAGGTGGGACAGCAGTGGGGTATGGGCTACTGTGCTGTGCTTAGCTGTTCAGCCGTGTCCGACTCTTTGCAAGTCCATGCCAGGCACCTCTGTCCATGGGGATTCTCCAGGCAAGGATATTGGAGTGGATTGCCATGCCCTCCTCCAGGGGATCTTCCCAACCCAGGGATCGAACCCAGGCCTCCTGCGTTAACAGGCAGATTCTGTACTGCCTGAGCCACCAGGGAAGCCCAAGAATACCAGAGTGGGTCACCTCTCCCTTCTCCAGCCATCTTCCTGACCCAGGGATTGAGCTGGGGTCTCTTGCATTGCAGGCGGATTCTTTACCAGCTGAGCTTCCAGGGAGGCCCATGGGCTACTCGGTTCAGTTCCGTCGCTCAGTCATGTCTGACTCTTTGCAGCCACATGGACTGCAGCACGCCAGGCTTCCCTGTCCATCACCAACTCCCGGAGCCTACTCAAACTCATGTCCATCGCGTCAGTGATGCCATCCAACCATCTCATCCTCTCTCGTCCCCTTCTCCTTCTAACTCTAATCTTTCCCAGCAGCAGGGTCTTTTCCAGTGAGTCGGTTCTTCGCATCAGGTGGCCAAAGTATTGGAATTTCAGCTTCAGCATCAGTCCTTCCAATGAATATTCAGGACTGATTTCCTTTAGGATTGACTGGTTGGATCTTCTTGCTGTCCAAGGGACTCTCAAGAGTCTTCTCTAACACCAACAGTTCAAAAGCACTCAGCTTTCTTTACAGTTTAGCTCTCACATCCATACAGGGCTACTGGAAAAACCATAGCTACTCGTGGAGGTTCAGAAGTGGGGATTTGCAGAGGGAAGAGGGGCTTTCACATGGTGAAGAATGAATGCCTTTTCAGGCTTCAGCCAGTTTTCTTAATCTCGAAGCCCTCCTTCCTTGTTCTGTGTAGAATGGTTTTTCCAGATAGTTAAACCAAAATATCCTATATGTTCTCCCTTCTGTATTTGGTTATTCAGTTGTTTAAAAATCTTTCAACTTTGTCTTCTCAAATCTCTAACTCCTCCTCATCTTCTTTCCCTCTTTGTCAATACTGGTTAAATTTAGGTGCTCATCTTTTTCATGGAATATTGCATTGATTCTTTGCATCCCACAGGTCATTTTTTTTCTGCCTTTGTCCATAGTGCTTTCCTCATTATCTCTTGGGAAATTTTTCCGTGTCATTTTGTTGTTGTTGTTAATGAGGAACTAGACCTTAATTTTTTTGTGATAATCTCTCAATTAAAAAATTTTTGCTATTCAGTTAAAAAACATGCCGTCTAGCATGACTGAAGCAACTTAGCAGCAGCAGCGTGTCTAAAAACCTTACCAGCTGCATTTGTAAAGCCTGCTTTGACCGTTCTTTCTTCTGCCAAGTTAACTACTCAGTCTCTGTGCAGTCTCACATGTTAACCCGCAACTTTTAAGCTGTTACAAAACAATTCACATACAAATAGTAACATCAGAAAGTTTGTTTTAAACTTGTGAAAACTGGTTCAATGAGAAATTGGGCTTTATGTAGTCAATTTAATAAGGAATGCTGAAATAAAATTGCTAAAATACAAAATTGGTTAATAGCCTATAGGTATTTAGACTGAGCCTTTGGGGGATAGTATTTTCTACTAGACAGAAAACATGTATTTCACTGTAAGAGTTTTTTTGTTTGTTTATTTTACAGAGTTACCTTTAAATTTAGAAACTGCCTGGGCCCTAATTAGTTGTAAATCAAACAATCAGTTTACCTCAGGTAAACTTACTGTAAACATTCTATCTAGTGTGATATTAAAAGTCACACAATTATCTTTATGTCTTATTCTATATTTTGAATAATTTGTCTGAAAACATACTTATTTTGTGTTATTAGCGACCAGCCACCTCTCCGTATCTTCTCTTTTTAAAATATTAATTTATAAGAGTTTTCAGAATCACTGATGAATGGTTCAAGTCTATATTTTTTGCCTTGTTCTCATTTGTGCCTTAGTTCTATATTTTCTACAGTAGAGTTCTGTTAAAACACTAACCATCAGCTGGGATATAATGGATTCCCAGAATATATGCAATAACAGAAACATAAGGTACGTATAGAAACAGCACTTTAATGAGCTTAGTTTTGAAATTTAAGTAGGAGTTTATAAACCAGGTAAAGTGACCAGTGTGTTCTGATTTAGGACTAGAGTCTGTCTAGTCCTGGCAAGACAAGGAGATCCTCCTGAGCCAAAATAGTTAGATGGTCATATTGTGGAATGAAGGGGCAAGCTGGATCTGAAAGAAAATGTAGGATTCGGTCACACAGAGAAACAAAGGTGAGGAAGTCAACTGTTGAGAGAATGATGAGTGGGGAACAGTCAGCTAGAGTAAAAGTCTCTGTTATTGCCAATTTCCACAACTTTGGGATCCACTTCTGGTCTTTTTCTTCTCATGTTTTAATCTAACTGAAGCATTACCAACATGGTTATTTTCTTAAAAACCATTTGATCATCTTCCTTCCCTGCTTGAAAATATTAACTGCTTCATGCTTGATAACAAACACAGTGAACTTCATTTTACTTGGCCTCTTAACTTCAGTTTCCCTGTGTGGTTTCCTCAGCCATGATTTTCACAGTGTACAGTTCATTGAAAGCATAGACTTCTACTCTAGCTGACTGTCCCCTAGAATGATGAATTCATCATCCTCTCAACAGTTGACTTCCTTACAGTCCGATTTTTCTTCCTCAACCTTGTTTCTCTGCCTGACCGAATCCTACATTTTCTTTCAGATCCAACTTGCCTCTTCATTCCACAATATGACCATCTGACTATTTTGGCTCAGGGGAATCTAAGTTTGGTTGTATTTGTTCATATTGATATGTAAACTTGTCCTGTCTGTAAATCAATGGGTGGGTTGCCTCAGTTTCACCTGGGAGGCAGTAAAGCAGTCACATACTGTGCTGCCTATAGAATTTTTTAGAATGTTTTCCACATATCAATATGTTTTTGTATTTGTAGACCCGAAAAATGTCTGAGAACTCCAGTGACAGTGATTCATCTTGTGGTTGGACTGTCATCAATCATGAGGTATGTATTTAATATTTTTTCTAAGGCAGCGTGTAATATTATAGTGTTAATAATGATTTGCTGTCCTCAACTTTGAGCCAGTAGGCAGATACTTACTGAGGGCTTCTTAGTCAGGCCTTCTGCTTTACCTATGTTCTCATATAATTTTAAGCAACCCTCTGTGGCATACATTTTCATTCTCATTTCATAGTTGAGAAAACCAAAGCTTAGAGAGATTTAGTAATTTGGCCAAGATTATGTAGCTAGAAAAGATCAGCGAGTGCATTTAAACAGGCCAGGAAGGAGCATGAAGAACACATGTTCCACTTGTGTTGTGTTATGTTACATTGTTATCATTGCAGAACTTTACAGGAAAAAAGACTATCACTAGAACTCTGTCACAAAATGAATTTTATTACAGAAATATATTACAGTATATAGTAAATATTAATTTATTCTCACACTGCTAATATATGTTAATTACAGAAAAAAATCATAAAATAGTGATAATAGAAGCAAAAGGATAAAAATTATCTATACCTATATAATGTGTTAATGGATTTATCTATAGTTTTCCTGTTTTTTCCCAGCCTCTTAGGCTTCACTTATTTTCCTGCATCAATAAAAATTTTAAATGGTATTTTTTTACAATTGCCCTGATAATTTAATGTTTAGACAATTGGTTAGTCATGTCTTCTCGACAACAACATTAACCAAACTTTCTGCAAGAAAGTTTAAACATTCCTTAGCAGCTGTACTAGTTAAAATTGAGTGGTTTCTTTTGTTTCTTCTTTTATTTTTTTCAATAAATGACATTTCTATTTTTAACGTGTTTCTCCAAAGCTTAGATCAACTCTCATAGCAACAATTACTCCTTCAAGGATAATTAACAGTGTAGGAGCAAGGCAGTTGTGGGAATCTTCAGTGTGAAGTAAGAGAGCAAACCGCTCTGGCATGTAGCCGAGTGTGCCATTTGGGTGTTCTGTAGTAGAGGTACCTTGTCACACGTTGATTATATTTGTACCTTTATTCCTCTTCCCTCCATATCTTGTTAATCAGGTTTTGTTCTTTCTTGCTAATGTCTCTTAGGTGTATTTCCTTTTTCTTTACCATTGCTACCTTTCTGACTGAGGCCAGGACTGGTCTCCCCAGTGACTCAGAATTCAACCCAAACCTTGTATCTGTTACTGCTGTTCTTCTGCCACTTTAGCAAGCCCAAAGTCTTAAATTCATAATTCTCTTTAAAACTCAAACTTGCTCCTTTAATGAAGTTTTTTAGTTATGTTGAGTTACATGTTTCAGGAGAACTCAGACCTTTTAATTTCATGATCAGTAAACTATAGGAAGATTGAGGGAGGAATCTGGAGAGACACTGAGTCATTTTTGGACAACTTATTTTGCTAATTAAGATGAGAAAAAAAATCTGTTAAGATACACATTTATTACAAAAAAGACAATCTGACATCAAAGTAAAAACCTTGGAAGAATAAAGAAGAGTCTACTTTTACAGAGAACGTTTACTCTATTAGTGTAATGGTGGTGGTGGTTTAGTCGCTAAGTCATGTCTGACTCTTGCGACCCTATGGACTATAGCCTGCCATATTAATCTAATAGGTTAATTTTAATGCTTGCCCTTAAAATTTTTTAGTCAGATGTTGTAATAAGTAGTTATTAATATTTACTTGTGGCTGTTTCTCCGAATGGGCTTTAAATCTGAATTTTAGATTTCAGTTTTTTATACTCTGTGACACCTAGCAAAATGCCTTGGCTAGAGTAGTTCCATAAATGTTGAGTAGAAGCAGATTAATAAATAGAAATAGCTAAATGTAGAAATCCTCTGGGATTCAGATTGACTCTTGGGCTTATAGTGCAGTTAGAGTATTTGACTTCTGGACTGACTTCTTTCAGAGTCTAAACCTGTGGCTCCTTTCTGCTGTTTGCCTGCTGTAGGTTTTATGGACTAAATTGAACAAAAGCAATAGATACTGTTCCCTTTAGAGTATAGCAGCATCTGGGACTTTTAATAATGGAAGCATCTACAGGTAGTCAAATCTAGCTTTGGGTAGCTGATAGACAATTAACTGATTATCACTTTTTCTCTAGGGGTCTGATATAGAGGTGGTGAATTCTGAACATGGCACAACTAGTGACAGCTGTGAACCCACTCCAGAATGTGCATCTTTATCACAAGAGGAGCTGCAAGAATTACAGTTAGAGCAGGGAGGTAAGTTTAAAGAAGTCTGATTTTTTTGTTTTTCTTGATAGGATATGTGAGCAACATGAATCTTGTCTTCTTTCTAGGTGAGCAGCCTTTCTGGCTGGTCTAAACCAGCAGGTCACTGAAAGACTAGAATTTTAGTGTGATGTGGTGGGCAGGCCTAAAGAACCCAGTGGCACCAACCTGCCCAGGGGCCTTGTTTGTAGCTATAGTGGGCTTCTGTATGAATGTTTGATACTGCTAGTGTAATTGGTAACCAAATATTATTAATCTTGATTAAGACTATTGATACACAGAATTATTTATTCATCAGAAGGGGTTTACTCAACTCTTCTATGGTTACCACACTTCAGAGTACCTTTGGTTATAGGTAGGGAATGGTATTTAACTACTGCATTGCATTGATGTTATATATTCTTCTATGGGATTTGATGCCCACATTAATTATACAGAGAATTAAACCCAAATAATTAATGCATCTTCATATTTAAATTACTTAAAGTTTTTTTTTAATTGCATTAAAATGTAAACAGGACATTTCTCCTTCAGGAGAATAAAGTGGATATGTTAAGGCCAGAAATATAAAAGATTTATGCCTGTAAATCTTGTTTTCAGCCCATGTGTTGATTGCTGTTCTCATTTGAACAGTGATTTTCATCCTTCATGGGTCAGATTTTGAGAATCTGAAAACTATGCATGGTCTCTTCAAAGAAATGCATATCTTTAGATATGTGTTACAAGAATTTTTTTCCATACTTCCTCAGGGGTCCTTAGACCCAAGACCAACTTTGTTGAGGAGTCTTATCTCCAAATTAATATTCTGTGGGGGCTATATCACATGTGCAAATGGTGGTTTCTTTTTTTTTTTTCCTTTTGTTATTTTGGAGGAGTTAGATAATGAAAAATACACACTTATGATAGAAAAGCAAAGGATGACCAAAAATTTAAAGCCATCTATAATTCTTTTGATTCTGGAGATAATGTTATACCAAAAATGCATGTTATGCGTAAAACCTGGTGCTTATTATGTACTGCTTTCGTTTTTAGCTTCTATTAAAAATTTTCAGCCTTTGTCATTAAAAATATGACATTATAAACTAATCTGTATATTTTTTCTTATAAGTTTCTCATAAAATATATCTGTTATGGTGACATTATTTTGTTTTTCTGTATTCAAGTCATTGTTTTTTATAGTCCATTTTTTATTATAAAGAATTTTTAATTTGAAGCCATAGTTTTGATCCTTGTGTTACCAGGCATTGACAGTCATTAGAATAGGGGTACATTTAGGAATTTTGAATAAGAAAGGAAATGTGCTCTCACTGATCTGAGACTGAGTTTTCCATATTAACAGGTTTTTATAAACACCTTGGCTTAAGTACTTCGGAATTGTAAAGTAGAGATTGTTTATTTAGACATTATAGTTTTTGTAAATTTTTAAATGAGTTCAGTTCACTAAAAATTATCTCAACAATTTCCAGTAGTTATATTTGAAATGCAGAGATATTTTTAACAACAATAGAGTGATTGTTATAATTGTATGTAGCTTTTCATTACATCCACTTTAAAAATGAGGAATAGATTTTATTTATCCGTATTATAATATATGCAGATTATAAAAAGTTGGTGAAATATAGTTAAATTGACCTTTACTTTATGTCAGAGAACAGCCAAAATGACACAGTGTTACTGGGAGGAGCTACTTATCCTGCTTTGGAGGAAATGAAGTCAGCACTTGAGGTAACCTTGTGTTTTACTCTGGATATTTGATAAACAATAATTCTTAGAGAATACTAATTAAAGCTGCCATTTCTGTTTGTGCATTTTGTTCCTATAAATAGCTTTTGTTGAAAAATTTGGGTTCGTAGGTTGGTCAGTTTTAACGTTAAAAGTTAGCTTCCATTTTAATGCCTAGGTAAGTGAACTGTCTTTTAATTTAGAAAAGTGATTTCTTGGTAATGTATTAAAGATTTATTTTTTTAACATCTAATATTTTCTTTGGAAATACATTGCATTCTTGAATTATATTGAGAAATTAAGGGTTCATATGTTAAATGAAAGTTAGTTTTCAAACTTGAGAACAAACTAAATCTTGTCCTTTGGCATTTTACTTGACTTCTGTGTACCTACGGCTGATTCTTGTTGATGTTTGACAGGAAACCACAGAATTCTATAGAGCAATTATCCTTCAATTAAAAAAATAAAGTGGCAAAAAAACATTCTTAAGTGCAACTGTGTATCAAATATAATACTGTATTGATCAAGTATAATAAAGTAACAATAATTGCTCAAAAAAAACTAAATAGCTGGATGATCTTTACATGCTATAGCTGTTGAAGTTTATTAGAAAAATTTAATCAATCTTTTATGGGTTTCCTGACCATATAAATAAACCCATATTTATTTATTACAACCCAAATAAACCCATAGTACTGGTGAGAAATGAATCCCCTTCTTTTTGTGAACTTTGGGTTTGAAAGATGAATTTGTTTCTCAACTCCTGCAGGAATGAATGGTAGGCAAGCAGTTTGATTTAATTCTGAGAGAGAGCTGCTGTCAGGTTTGATGGTGTTTTCAGACTGAAAGATGAGTCTACTCTTGAGTAATCCTTTCCTATTGAGCAGGACTTATTTTAAACCCAATCATCATGCTACTTAAGTATACTTAGAAAATGTAAGGGCCATACATATTTGTTGAATACGTCTCTAAAATTATGGTTCTAATTCTAAAGGGAGAGGAAGAAAAGTTACCTGATGACAATCTCTATTTTGGCACTGTCAGTGATGATTCTGATATTGTTACACTTGAGCCACCTAAGTTAGAAGACGTTGGAAATCAAGAAGAAGCAATAATTGTTAAAGAAGCAGAGAGTCCAGAAGACTTTAACATGGGCTCTTCCTCCAGCAGCCAGTATACATTCTGTCAGCCAGAAACGGGTAAGAACTGCATAGCGAATAGACTGATTGGAGGCTTAGGACTCCTATGATCACATTGTATATAATGGCTGGTTTTCTGAAAGCTAAATCTCAAAGCTATGACTATATTTGGGTAAAATGCAAGAAAATTTTTTGTAAAAATCTACCGTTTTATCTAGTGTTTTCCTAAACCCAGGGCCTAGAGCACAGTAGTCCAATAAATACCATCTTTTATCATTAAAAGAAGGAAAAAAATAGCTTTAAGAGATTTATTAATGTCTCAAACACTTCAAAATGCATTAGACAATTTTTAGGTCTTTAGGAGTGGGAGATTGAGCCATTGTACCTAAAAAGTAGGAGAATGTTAAGATCTTGAGTTACAGTGGTATACAAATTTTTTATTGTAGAAACAGTGAAAGAAGCTTTTTTTGAGCCTTCCAGATCCATTTAATTATTAGTCACTCGACAATCATTTTTTGTGTGCTACCATGTGCCAAACAGGATTTCAGGAACTGGCAAAACAGGAGTGTCATGAAGCCCCCAAACTGGGATCTTTCACTTTAGACTGAGTTATGAAAATGTACCTATTATAAGTCACATTCTTAATGCAGTTGGGCTTCCCTTGTGGCTCAGCTGGTAAAGAATCCACCTGCAATGCGGGAGACCTGGGTTCGATCCCTGGGTTGGGAAGATCCCCTGGAGAAGGGAAAGGCTACCCACTCCAGTATTCTGGCCTAGAGAATTCCATGGACAGTCCATGGAGTCGCAAAGAGTTGGACACGACTGAGCGACTTTCGCTTCGCTTTCGCTTAATGCAGTTTATGCCTATTGTTCAGACAGAATCATTTGGAAGTGAAATGTGAGTTACTGAGCTAATTCCTTCTGTGATTCTTTGGCTCAGGTTTAGGGACATATGTAACATCTTAGGTAACATAAATATTTAAATACAAAGTTATGGAAAATAAGAGAAATCTATATTGAACCAAAGGTTATTAACCCCCAATTATGATTTAGGGTGGATTATGGGAGAGACACTTGTGGCATTGCTAGTGTTAATAAGAATTTTCTAATTTGGTGCAAAAACAAATACGTGTAGTATGTTATTTCAGATCATTTTCTTCGATTTTACCAGTCTTTGTTTCATTTGCCAGAATCAAACTGTGGGAATTCTGTTATTCCAGTTTAAGCTAATAAAATTCAAGTGGGGTTAAACCAGATGCTGATTTAATTTGAGAATATTTGTGGGCCAGATGTGTAGTCAGATTGAAGCCAGGAGCATTGTCTACTTGAACTCTTTCAAGTAGACATTTAAGAAATGATGCCACACACTGTTGATTGTATTTCCATGAACTTCAGTACGTCAAAGCACATTATTCTAGTTTTAATCTCCTTTTTGAACTTCCTAGAATTTTACAGATTCACTTAAGCAGTATATTTTTTAGGTGTATTTTTATCCATTGTTCTTCCCAGGGAATTATTTCAGTAAAAGAGATGCTAAAAAATAATTTAAAATAACATTTTGGATTATGTTGAAAATAGTCTATATACATCAGTTGTTAAGAATTTTTGTTTTCTTCCCTTAGCAGATTTTTTCTTGGTTGGTAAAATTTCCTGCCATCTGTTGCTTAGTTTTGTTTGTTTTTTCCCTTTCCCTGTCTTCTCCATCTCTATAGAATTTCAGCTTCTTTTTTTTTTCTTCTTACAAATTAGATTCTTGTGGCAGTAATCTTTTCGTTGGTGTAAGAACATTTCCCAGTCCCTCCATATGACCCTCTCCTCCCCTCAGGAAGCAGAGTTGGTAGTTGAATAAAAGTTTGTGTTGTATGTGTTTTTTTAAAAGTCATATGATTATTAGATTTTGATGGAGCATGTGATCATATTAAGTGATAAATAAAATAAGTATTTTTCAATTCTCTTTTTCCTTTTTATTCTTTGTAATAAAGCTTTATACATCTTTTTTCCCCTGTTTATTCACAAAAGAAAGATGGTGGGAGAAGCTGTGGAAGATTCCTGAATGCATAAGGGGATGGGATGATCAACTGAAACACCACGTTCCTAGCCAACTCACTTTCCAAGGTGGTGTGACTAAATCTGATCAGCTTTTCTAGAGCTGAGTGTTCCTAGTCACATTTACTATTTACTTAGTGCTTTAAAGATATCTATTGTAATCTGTGATACTCTGAACAGGTGTTCAAACTTGATCTTGTAATAAAGCTGGCTAAGCTTTTTGCATGCCTTTGTGTTGCTTGCATCTTGGATTGAGGGCCAAATTATGCTTTAAAAGAATCTCAGCTGTCACATGTATGGGTTAAAAAAGATGGAAGCATTAGATAAGAATGTGAATTTTTTCATTTGGGCCAGCCCTATCTGTTTACTTAGAATGCATAATGAAAGCAATAAGTCAAGGTAGAATTGAAAATTTAAGAAATTTACAAATGGTTTGTTTTTATATTTACCCATCTTAATTATGTGAGAAAGTCTGAATTAAGTACTCCAACCGTGCTCATGAATGCCTTCATATTGTGTAATGCTTTGTTTAAGTCTTCCTTTCTTTCTCTTTGTCCAAGAATGTAAGCTCACAGCTGAGGCGATGACATCTTGGAAAAACTAGTGATCAAGAATAACCAGATAAACATGATGGGCATAAGGGTTTTGACCCAAAGATCTCTCAGTGACACCTCTCTCATTAACTGTTAGGAATATTCATTCATTCAGTAGTGCCTTCTGCCTTTGTGTTTATTGTTGTAAGTGTGAGAGTCAACCGAATTCTCTATGATCCAGCTTTCGAAAAGTATTGTTTAACCTGAGTCAGCAGCTTTGCTGTGGCATGGATACCCTGTCTTCTGAAGAAGTGTTTTGCTTTTTTGAAGCATGAATGTTTGTGGTTTTTGGAGCTCTTTGTATCAAATTTATGTTCATATTTTATTCTTACTTGTAGTGCTTTTTTTTTCCTTCTCCTTGGCCTTTGGAAATTATTACTGAGTCATTAATCTGTGTCAGCATATAGTTTATTGATATATGGGACAACATTAAGAAATAATACATTTGAAAAAACTGAAGATGGTTTTTTCCAATGAATATGCTTCTAGTATTTGAGATTTCTTGTGATTTTTTTTTCTATTTGTTGTTCTTTATTATTCTTTTCATAAAGGAGCAGCACAAGACTAGTCCTTAATATCGGAGATAGCTGTTGTGTCACTTCCTCATGCTGACATATTTACTAGAGGGTAAAATTAATAACCTTCTAGTAAGAGTGGCAGTCGAAGGGAAGGGCTCATCTGACTTCTGGAAGCCTGGGTTAAACTATAGTGCTTTGAACCTTGATTTGGGGCTCATAGGATGGAAATAAAACTAGGGGCTAGTACACTCAGGGAAACTTTTGGTAGTTATTGTCTTTTTTAAATCACAGGAACTGCTTATATACTTCCCTCTGTTCTTTAAACAATTGAGCTTAAATTACCTCCATTTGAAATTAAATTGAAGAGAGAGAGTTTTTTTTTCCCCCTACTTCAAGAAATAGCATTTGTGGCACTAATAGCAGTGAAACTTAATAGGCTATGAGAATGATTGTTTTAATGGTATGAAGTATAAGGGAGGTTAAAAAAAGAAAAAAGCCAAAATCAGACGCTCAGCAACACACAATATAGTTAACAAAGTCTTAGGTATCACAGTTGAAATCTTGGGCTCCATGTTGATAAATTTGAAAATTTAAGTTTTGTTTCTGTTGTCTTGTTTTTGTTCTTGGCTGTCTTATGTAAAAAGGCATGTAGGGATGGCGTTCTAAATCATATTTACCAGGAAAGCTTTCTAAAATATTTAATATTTATCTCAATTTTTCTTTTTAAAATAGTATTTTCATCTCAGCCTAGCGATGACGAATCAAGCAGTGATGAAACCAGCCATCAGCCCAGTCCGACCTTTAGACGACGTCGTGCCAGAAAGAAGACTGTGTCTAGTTCAGAATCTGAAGAAAGGCTGCTTGCTGAACAAGAGCCTGAACCGCCTCAGGAGCTGTGTAAACGGCAGTTCAGTAGTGGTCTCAATAAATGTGTTATACTTGCTTTGGTGATTGCCATCAGCATGGGATTTGGACATTTCTATGGTAAGTATTTGCAAATTTGTTACATATAAACTGATGGTGAAGAGTGAGGCATTCTGGGAGCTGTTTTCAGTGTCATCCTTGAAATATATGACCTTAGAAAACTTGTACCTGTTTGAGCCTTAGTTTTCTTGTGGAAAATGGGGATAGTGTTGCCTCACAAAGCTATTTGCACTTAAATGAAACAGTATTTAAGAAATGTAAGGGCTGTTCATACACATATTATCAGGAGGATTATTTAAGTTCCATTTGTAACTATATGTTACATTTGAAATGAATGTCACAGTAATTGGTGCTCAATTCTACCTTCAGGTTTCATGCAGGCATTATATTTTATGACTGTTGGTATTACTTCTGTGAGTCACATGACTTAAGAATTCACTTGTATTATACTTTGCTCAGTGTTATTTACATTGGTTAATTACTCTTATTTACATTGGTTAATTATTTTCTTGATGCAAAGCCTTTGAAACTACCCTGGTGAAAGAGGAAGGAATTCCACGTGGTCTTTTTCTTATGGGAGCCTGACCATTGAATCTTATTTAAGTTTTATATTTGTACAAAGATAAGACTATGTGAGAACTGAACATTCGTACTTTTTGCTTTATTAAAAATTTGAAAAAGTTTAAGCAAATGTCTTAGATCTTGCCAACTTCACAACTTGCAGTTAGCCTTATATTAACTACGTTTAGGATTTTTGCCTACATAATACACAGTTTAGCTTTCTGAGTAATCTGGTTTTTCTAGTTCCTTCCACCAGTGTGTTCCTTAAGGTTTAAGAATTAACATGTACCCTGTGTTGATTCGTAGAAAAGATGTATTATTCAACATAGTGTAATATGAGAAGAAACTTAGTGAAGATAATCAATTCTTGTTTAAAGTGAGAGAAAATAAATGTGTTTCTTCTTTTCTTTAACTTTATATTAATAAAAAATAAGTATTTAGATGCCTGGTGGATGTCTGCTTGAATTTAATACTGGGACCTTTTAATTTGTATCTTCCCTTGAAGTTTGTTATAGTGAGATTTGACTTGAAATATATACTTAACTTGTTTATTATCTAGCTGGAGCAAATGTATGAACATTTCTTTTGAGCATGGTTTTTTCCCATTGCAGGTAAACGTGGAGGTAACAAAGGAGAAGGTGTAATTTTAATCTTTTTTTCTTACTAAAAAAAAAATTGGATAGTGATTTAATGTTAATCCACATTGCATTAAAGCCCTGAAAAATGCATGACCTTTAAGTATTTTGTAGAAAAATTAACTTAGGAGTGCTTTTAAAAACTGATAAATTATTGCCCTCTTATTTAAGGTATTTGTTACTTGTAAAATTTACTTTATTATATTGAATAAAATATTTTCCTGTAGTACTTCAGATTAGCTTTTCACAACAGGAGCAACTTTCATAATAGTAGGTCATACATTAATGAGACTGGCTCAGTGAACATACAAAACTTAATCTGAATGATAAGTTTTTCATGGTTACTTTTAAAGGATATCACGTTTTTGTTTTTTTTTTCCTTAGTTGTGGCACTGATCTCAATACTTTGAGTTCTTTTGAGTTTATGTTAGAGCCAGCTTGAATTTCCCAGGCACTGTGAAGTCAGTCATTGCATTCCATAATTAGTCATTTGCTTTATAATTATTTATCAAGAACACACTACTAAATTAATCACTCAGAGCATTCACCAACCTTGGCTCCATGTAAATTTGGAGTGTCATATCTGTGTTGGATGGAAGAGAGAACTATTTAGAAGGACTAAGGATAGTAAAAGAATACTGTAGGTATTTGGCACTGCTTCAGGTCCTGAAAGTCCTTACAAAAAATTTTTGAAAATCATGATGAAGCACTTATTTTGTTCTTTCTTTTACCTGTAGACTGTTCATATTTGAAAGTGACAATGAAATTCAGTTGATTGGTTTTCCTCATGGAGTTGCTTTAAGTATAGGCTGCCCTGCCCTTCAGCAAATAACATAACAATATAACTAGGTGCTAAGTTATGAAGCACAAACAAGAATCATAGCTCAGACTGTGACGCTGAGTCAGTCATCCTAGAGGAGGTAGGATATGAGTTGGGTGTTTACTTCCACATACTCTTATGTGGAAGGAAAGCAGAACATGCTAGCACTGGAGACCCTGATAACCTGAAATTAAACTTGCTAAGTTTGAGAGCACTGAAAAGACTGGCAGGATTGTATAGCCAGGTATAGAATAGATATTTAGAAATAATGGAATATAAGGTTGGAGTACGTGGGATGCTATTATGCTGTAAAACATCTTGGAATCTGAGCAGGAGAGTTTGATTTATAGTGACCTGAAGCAGTAATTTTAGAGGAAAAGTGCAAAAGATAAATAGTGTGGGATAAATTAGAATAGTCAAGTAGAAGGTTTGGTAATTCATTTATTTGGTGATCAGGGTCTTGACTGTTCTAGTGAAGCTGGGGATGGAGAGAAGGCTGGTGAAATAAGGAACATGGAATACCAGTGGAAAACATAACTTTGAGCCAGGGATACTTGAGATAGTGGTGGTTTACTTTTTAAATTCCAAGAAGTGTGTTAGCTTCATTACTTTAGGTGGTGGGGGAATTAGAGGGATGAATTTTTTGGTCAATGATAAAGTTAATAGATGGTGAGCACAGTTTGGTTTACCTGGCGTGCTGCAGTCCATGGGGTCACAAAGAGTCAGATAAGACTGAGCAACTGAACTGAACTGAACTTTATTTTAAGAGTGAATTAGGGCAGGTGCTGAAGTGGTTTTGTTTTGTTTTGTTTTACTGAAGACACCCCAAAAATTTTGCCCAGCAGGCAGATGGATGTATTGGCTGGAAGCTCTGGTGAGACTGAGACACTTTATCTGTAGAAAAGAAGCCTTACTGCAGTGGTAGCAAAAACCGACAGTGGGTTAATGTAATTAAGGTAGGCAGATTTGTGGACATAACCAGAAAGCAGTACACCCTGGGTTGTAACACTTTATGGTTTACAGCTGAAGGTGTAGAAGGAAAAAAAAAAGCTAATGATGGGATTGATTGATAAGTGTCACATTGATAGTCATCAAACATATGCTGTGTAATAGTACCACAAACTCAGATCTCAACACAGTTTTAAGATATTTCCCAGTGGCCAAAGGAATTCATTCTGTTAGTAGTTTTGGAAAAAAAAAACAAACAACAGTTTTTTGTTGCCTTGGAACTATAGATAAATTTATTTTAATATTTCAAAAGATCTGAGATTTTTTGGAATAATAGGGAAACAAATTTGCCATGCAAATTTTTTTGTTTTTCTGTTTTTTTTTCCCATTTATTTTTATTAGTTGGAGGCTAATTACTTTACAAGAAATGAATTCTGACAGAGTATCATTGCTGTTAACTGGTAACAGTTGTTTGTAATTTGGCAAAAGTTTTTAGTGGTTTTCAAGATGTATTAAAGAAATTAGTTATTGTTTCAGAAATCAATAAACTGTTAATTTATTATATTCTTTCACTACAAAATTCTGTGATGTGATGCCACTCAGTAGATGTAGTATTATGGTTGCCAGATGCATTTGGCCTTCTTTTTGATTAAGTGTTTTTTCTCATGCATGAAGCATGTAGCAGCATGTGAACAGCATGTCTTGGCAAATTAACAGTTGATTTTTAGGGTGAAAACATAGACCATCCTGGTTAATTTATGATTCACGGGGGTAGGGATGGTGATACTCCACACAGGCCTAACTAATGCAGAGTTCTTAAAAGAGCTGGCTCTGAGAATTGTGGGTAATCATAATTAGCCAGTTGTTTTCCTTGCTATTCTTTTTGGACTTATGCTATATCATTTAGGCAAAATATAGTGAGAAAAAATTTCATTTTTCTTTAGTGACTTATAACCTGTGACAAGACTGCATGATTTGTTCTTTTCTCTGTTGAAGTGGGGAATGCAGCACTTTATGTACCTCAGAGACCCCTTAAATACAACAAACTTGAGTGCCTTCAATATAATAAGACAGAAACATGACATAAATTATTTTTCTTGGTAGGGTAATATGGTCTGGTTTGTTTTAATCAAAAGAATAGTGAACGACTTAAATACACCTGGTGTATGCTAAATATAATAAAAAAATATATTAGCCTGTTTGGTCTGATTTATAAATTAGCATCTATCTGTTGCCATTTAATGAATGACACCATAAGATTTTACTTATTCCTTTTTTGTTTATATAATCAGAAATTTTTATAAAACTGAAATATTTTGTAAAGCTGTGGTATTTTAAAGAAAATGATCCTATCTGGATCAAGCAGTTAAATATATGCAAATTATGTGTTTCATTGTATATTTTAAAATATTGGTAATTGTGACATTTATATATCTCTAATAACAAATGTTGTATTTTTAGGCACAATTCAGATTCAGAAGCGTCAACAGTTAGTCAAAAAGATACATGAAGATGAATTGAATGATATGAAGGATTATCTTTCCCAGTGTCAACAGGAACAAGAGTCGCTAATAGAATATAAGGTATGTACTAGTAATGAATTTTTAAAATTGTGTTATCCAATAATTATTGTGCTATTCAGATACCAGTACAGTGCAGATTAGTAAATCAGTAATAGTACTGGTAATTGTTGACTGAGTACTTATGTGTCCTGGTCAGTGTTGTACCTTACATACAGCATTTCTTGCCACATCGCAGTGAATTAAGCAAATATTGATATTAATTTCATTTTATAGATAGGAAAGAGATTCAAAAAAGCTAAGTAACTTTCTCAAGTCTAGCAATCAGCAAAGCTGAATTTAATTTTGTTTATCTGACTCCAAAGATTTTGTTCCTAATCACTATATTATAGTTAACATTTTAATTGATGTTATATATAAAACATTATTAGTCAACTTCCCTGGTGGTTCAGTGGTTAAGAATCCACCTTACAATGCAAGGAACACCTGTTCGATCCCTGGTTCAGGAAGATCCCACATGTTACGGGGCAGCTGAGCCCGTGTACCACAATCACTAAAGCCTGCGTGCCCTAGAGCCTATGCTGTTCAATAAGAAGAGCCACCACAATGAGAATCCTGAGCCCCACATTTAAGAGTAGCCCCTACCTGCTGCAACTAGAGAAAGCCCTTGTACAGCAGTGAAGACCCAGCATAGCCAAGAATAAATGAAAAAAAAAAAAAAAACCTATTATTATTATTAACATTTTTATAGAGCCAAGCAAAACATTTTCATTCAGTGAGAGAGAAAGAGGAGAGTTTGTACTTTTCTCTAGGAGGTACCCTTGCTCATGGGGAATAATCAGGCAGTCCTTTTCTCTGGTCTCATGTCAGTTATGAAGACAGAGAAAGCATGTTATGAAAATACCTGAAATTCACCTAGCTCCAACAGGACTGTGCTTTCCATTCTGGGTTTATGAGGATTAGCAAAATATTTCCTCTCTAGTTCTTGCTTTGGAAGGGTATCGGGATTATAGTAAACTCAGGGTAGAAAGGTAAACTGTTCCTTTTTGCTTCCATTACCCTAAATTCCCTTCACAATGTATATGCTTCACAATGTAAATTTCCCTTCTTTATGTATATACTCTGTTTTATGTTTTGTATATATATTCTTTATAGGGTTATGGTTGTATTTCTTTGGAAGACAGAATCCCTCTTAACATCTGAATTATATCTTTCAGGGATGGACTACTGAAGTTAATTGTAAATAGTGTAGTTTTCTTTGCCTTGAGCAGTGTGCTAGTCAGTCATGTCAGACTCTCTGATCCCATGGACCTATAGGTTGCCAGGTTCCTCTGTCCATGGAATCTCTAGGCAAGAATACTAGAGGGAGTTGCCATGCCCTCCTCCAGAAGGGCGTGGCAACCTCTTGAGTTATAACCTTGAGCTGAGGATGTTACAGGAAGCAGCAGCCATCTTCTTCTTTACTGTCACGGTTTCTGGTTGCATAGAATGATGCTGGCTCTAAGGAGACTCACCCTGCGTAGATCTTTACTGAGTCAGTTCTTGAAAACCTCTTGTCTCCAGCTGCTAAATGTGGTTTGGAGTTTGAAGATCTTCATGGAAGACCTGTTCAGGATCTGCTTCGTCACTTAATTCAAGACTTTAGAGTTTACTGGATACAGAATAGTGACCCCTCTAGTTATCCTGCGGCAATCACTATGCTTGTGCGTTTAAAGACAGTACTGCACTAGTCTGCTCTACTCCATAGTTCACTCAAAAAATTAGTGAAGTAAGTTGACTTGCAGTATTATATTAGTATCAAGTGTACAGCATAGTTATTCAGTATTTTTTAGATTTTTTTCCATTAAAAGTTTTTATAAGATGGTGGCTATAATTCCCTGTTCTATATAGTATATCCTTTATACAGAGTAGTAGTTTGTACCTCTTAATTCCATACCATAATGTGCCCCTTCCCCTTCCCTCTCCTCACTGGTAACCACTAATTTGTCTTCTATATCTGTGTTTCTGTTTTGCTTTTATATTTGTTTGTATTATTTTTTAGATTCCCCATATAAGTGATATACAGTATTTGTCCTTCTCTGACTTACTGCACTTAGCATAGTATTCTCCAAAGTCCACTTCTGTTGGATAAATGAAACTTGTTTTCTCTCACACAGGGAGAGCAGATGAAACAACTATAAGGAACTTTTGATTTTTAATTGTTTCTTTGAAGATTAATGAGCCAGTGAAGTATCCATCTCAGATAGTTAGTTTTCAAGTGGAAAATCTTATCATTAAAAGGACTTTTTTTTTGGACTCTGTCAGATATTTTTATGGTCTGACTGAAATGGATTAGTCATAGGACTTCACTGGCAGCCCAGTGGTTAAGACTTCACGCTTCCAATGCAGGGGGCACCAGTTTGATCCCTGGTCTGGGAAATAAGATACTATATGCCGCATGGCATGGCCAAGAAAAAAAGTCTTGGCAATTTCCTTGTGGTCAAGTAGTTAGGACTCAGTGCTTTCACTGCTGTGCATATGGGTCAAAAAGTAAAAAACAAAACAGTGTGTTGTTTTTTTTTAAAGAGGGAACAGTCATGTTTGTAGTCAATTTTAAACAAAGTTGAAATACCATTTTGCAGATTTATACATAAGAGATTTTAACTGACTAGATAGTGCTATAACCATTAATCTATTTAAGCATAACCATTGATCTGTTTGATTTCTTGCTATTTTGATTAAAGTTTGTTACTAATACATGTATTGACAGAAAAATCAGACCCTTCAAGGCTACCCAGCACTGCAGCGAAAGTCTGTAAACTTAATTGGACATAATTTCTCTCTCAGAAATGGTGCTGACTTCAGAGTTACATTGCTAATCTGGTCAGTCTCTTCAGAAACATTGAAATTGGAGAAATTAGTTGTAAATGTTGCCAAGATTTAGTCTGTTCTCTGAAATGTGGGAGAACTTATATGACTTACCTGAACTAGGATGTTAATTTGTGTAGGACCAAGATCTTTCAAATAGTACTAAGATTATTGAAAATTTTTTCCTTCAGAGACTGCCATGAGTATATAACAGACTTTTGAAGCCTGAAGTCATCTCTAACTATAATTTTACTTTTTTATAAGATAATCTCCATCACTCAAGGATCAGAGAGCCTTTAGTCCTTCCTAAATTCTCTCTAGGAGCCTTCTCAGTACAGATTGTGGAGTCCTGTAGTTAAAAGGTAGAAGGCAGTCTTCTTCCAGCATGCTTTGTTTTTATTTTCATGTAGCTCTTTGCTGTGCATTTTCTTGCATATGAACCTTTTATTTTCCAATTGTCATGTATTGAAAATACTACATAAAGGATAGTCTCTGTGGAAATAGACACTAAACATTTATGGAGTATTTTTTATACCATAAAGATTTAAATTCAGCTTTGATATTTGATATTTTTCTTTCTTATCTTTCAAAAAATTTAGTCACTGAAGGAAAACCTTGCAAGGTGTTGGACCCATACTGAAGCAGAGAAGATGTCCTTTGAAACTCAGAAAAAGAACCTTGATACAGAAAATCAGTATCTAAGAACATCTCTGGAAAAGGAAGAAAAAGCTTTGTCTTCATTACAGGAAGAGTTAAGGAAATTAAGAGAACAGATTAGGATATTAGAAGATAAAGGGACAAGCACTGAATTAGTTACAGAAAATCAGAAACTTAAGCAGCATTTAGAAGAAGAAAAGCTGAAAACACACAGTTTCCTTAATCAAAGGGAGACTCTACTGGCAGAAGCAAAGATGCTCAGGAAGGAACTAGAAAGAGAACGACTAATAACCATGGCCTTAAGGGTGGAACTCCAACAGCTAAGCTCCAGTCACTCATATGGCAGCCCAGACTCGCCCAGTGTAATGACTGAGAAAAAGGAAATGGAAATGTTACGGGAAAGACTCGCTGAGCTGGAGCGCAAGCTCACCTTTGAGCAGCAGCGTTCTGATTTGTGGGAAAGACTGTATGTTGAAGCAAAAGATCAAAATGAGAAACAAGAAACTGATGGAAAGAAGAAAGGGAACAGAGGAAACCACAGAGCTAAAAACAAATCAAAGGAAACATTTTTGGGTTCTGTTAAGGAAACATTTGATGCAATGAAGAATTCTACTAAGGAGTTTGTGAGGCATCATAAAGAAAAAATTAAACAGGCTAAAGAAGCTGTAAAAGAAAATCTGAAAAAATTCTCAGATTCAGTTAAATCCACTTTCAGGCATTTCAAAGATACCACCAAGAATATCTTTGATGAAAAAGGCAATAAAAGATTTGGTGCTACGAAAGAAGCCACAGCTAAAAAACCGACAACAGTTTATAGTGAATATTTACATCCACAGTATAAGGCACGTACACAAAACCAGAATAGTAGAGGCCCTACTATGCAAAGGGAGGGAAGGAAAGAAAAGCCTCATTTTGAAGAATTTGGAAAAAATACAAATTCACAGAAATGCAGTGCTGAGCATGACTGTGGTGGAAATTATAATTCTTTCAGAAAGGCTTGTTCTGGCGTATTTGAATGTGCTCAACAGGAATCTATTAACCTTTTTAATGTTAAAATGTTGAATCCTGTAAGGATAGATGAATTTAGACAGTTAATTGAAGGGTATTTATTAGAAAAACTGGATAGTTTTCATCACTGGAAAGAACTTGATCACTTCATCAATAAGTTTTTCCTAAATGGTGTCTTTATACATGATCAGAAGCTCTTCACTGACTTTGTTAATGATGTTAAAGATTATCTTAAAGACATGAAGGAATATCAAGTAGATAATGATGGCGTATTTGAGAAGTTGGATGGATATATATATAGACACTTCTTTGGTCACACCTTTTCCCCTCCATATGGACCCAGGTCGGTTTACATAGCACCATGTTATTATAATAGTTTTTAACATTTGTAGATTGAATAGCATTTTTATAATTTGATAAGTTTCTTAGAATGCTACTACAGTTGACCCTTAAACAACCTGGGGGTTAGTCTGCATATGACCTATGGTCAGGCCCTCTGTGTCAGCATATCTGCATCTGAGGATTCAAGCAGCCGCAGACCATGTAGTACTGAAGTATTTACTATTGAAAGATATCCAGGTATAAATAGACCCAAGCAGTGCAAGCCCACATTGTTCAAGGGTCAGCTGTATTTGTTGTAAAAGTACTTTTTAAAGTACTATTGTAAAAGTACTTTATTGCCTTGGAATTTAGGATAAATTAAATTGAAAGATTAAATTTTAAGTTAAAATCTATTACCAACTGAAAATTTTATAAAATCAGTTTGACTTAAGCAAGTGGTTTAATTTCAACCTTAAAAAATCTGCTGAGGATATAAAATTCTATTTTAGCCTATTTCATTTTTTTCATTATACTTTATATGAAAAGATAATCACCGTAAGTTAAATTATTTCCTTAATCTTTTATTTACTCACTCACTTTGGGAAGCTAGGGGTGAAAAATACAAATTATACTTTGAAATCAGAGTAACAATTCAAGTGTCCCACTTGCTTTGTCTATTCTACTTACCAACTAAATTATGATATTTAATACATTTATTATAGAATTATTATTGGTAAAGGTAGAGGCAAGATCAAAGGGTAAACTTAGCAAGCCACAAGTTCTAATGCGTGTGCTTTATATATAACCTTTAAAAATAACATTGTATTATCCATTGCTTACCAGCTTTCTATTCTGTAACACGAAACTCTCCTGATCGTTGAATGTTAGCTTTATTTTTTAACCCTTGAGATAGTTTTCTCTCTATATAGCTTTTTGAATAAATGTAATGTGTCAATAAAATAATGAGACTGATTTTGGTGTCTTTAGTCATTAAATACATATCTAGGGCAAAGTACTGTGAGGCTGTCCTGAGGAAAGAAATGAAAAAGTCTTGCTGTCAAGGAGCTCACAAGCTTTTGGAGAATTAGGTCAATACAGGAAATGCAGTGGAGATGTGGAGGCATCTCTATATGGTGGCCTCAGTCAGTAGATGTTTGGGCACGCTTCATAATAAAATGGCCTTTGAGCTGAACTTCTTTTTAACTGGTTTTTGAAGAAGTAGTGAGAACTTGCCTGCAGCAGATGGAGTACATTCCACTCAAAGGGAGCTTCATTTGCACTGATTTGGAGATGTGAAGACATGCTATGTTAAGGAGACAAGGTAGAGCTGGGGTGTGAACAGAAGAGATTCACATCATGAAGAACCTTCCTGCTGGAAGACTTGTTTTATTGCATTTTGGGTCACTGGTAGCAGCCTGAAGGGTTTATTGGAAAGAGTGAAGCTAGATGCAGAAAGTGGTTTTTGAAATGATATACATGAGCTGATGAGTATCTGAACTAGGGCAGTAGCAGGAATAGAAAGGAGGGGACAGATTTGAACAGTATGTAGTAAGTAAAATCAGTGCTATTTCTTGTGAAATAGAAGTAGAAAGTAACAATACCTTTTGAGATTTCTGGGTTGGGTCACTAATTATATAGTTACAAATATATGTCTGTGTCTATAGTTATGTGTGTGTATATATATATATATAAAATATATAACTGTCTATAGTTATATATAGACATCAACTATCCTAAGGAATACCAGAAGGTTTGGGGTAAGGGGAATTGAAAATGAGAATTGTATTTGGAATCTATTCACATATAAGTAGAGAGAATTAGTTGACCATTGGTTACGTGACTCTGTCTCTAGCCCAGACTCTGTATATGTAGATAGTCTAGGCTGGAGGTGTGGATCAGACTGCTGAGGAACACCAACATCTAAGGGGCTGTAGAGAAAGAAGGCTGAGAATGATGGGCAGAGAGTGGCAATTGTGAAAATCGAAAATCATCTCAAGTAAAAGGAATAATGTTAAATGCTCCCCCCCCCCAAAAAAAAGAATGGATATCTTGGTTGGGAATTGGATGGCCATGGAGTGTTTTGTCGAACTAGTGACAAAGGTGTGATTATGGAGATCAAGAACTACATGTAGATATTGTTTATAAGCCTTAGCTGTTAGAGCATGCATGTGCATGCAGAAAAGAGAGAGGGAGAGAGGGAGGGAGGAACTCTGTAGGAGATGTGTATGTATCCCTGCTGAGGGAGGAAGCCACTTGAGGAGGGGGAATTAATAGGAAAGGAGAAAAAATAATGGAAACACATCTCATTATTTTATTGTCACATTTCTATTTATCTTTTGAGTGTTTCCCCTCTTTGCCAGCACAGTTATGTTTGTCCATTTTTTCTTTCTGTAGGATAAAAGTATAAACTCACTGAAATCTTTTTCATATGGTTATACTAGGATTATATACTTCAGATTCATTTACTATCCTTTTTCAGTGTTCAGATAATAGATTAATGGAGAAAAAACATTAAAATTGTTTCCTGTTTAAATAAATTTAACTCTAACCTGGATGAAAAATGTGTTTACTGCTTTCAGTCGACCAGATAAAAAGCAACGTATGGTAAATATTGAAAGCTCCAGGCATCGAAAACAAGAGCAGAAGCACCCTCAGCCACAACCTTATAAAAGGGAAGGTAAATGGCATAAATATGGTCGCACTAATGGAAGACATATGGCAAACCTTGAAATAGAATTGGGGCAGTTACCTTTTGATCCTAAATATTGACCATCACAACTAAGTTAAATTAGAAAACTGTAACAGAAACTTGGATGCTTTCTTTACTGTTTGGTGTTGAAACTAAGATGAAATTATCAAGATAACAATGTCTTTTTATCATTTCTAAGTATAGTTTGATGATTTTATATTATTACTCAAGTATCAAGCAAAAGCTTACTAACTTGCATTTTCCTGTAGTTTAGCTTCGCTGAATATTTTTTTTGGCACTGGAAATGTTCAGCTGTAGTTTTATTAAGGAAGCCAAGCGTGCAACACATTTTGTGCATGAAATGAGACTTCCTTTCAGTGTATGAGCTTAAAGCAAGCTCAAATCATACATGACAAAGTGTAATTAACACTGATATTTGTGTTAAATTTCCAGTAGAGCTTGAAAAAAAAGTACATTGTGATGGAATTTCATCTTTAACATTTTATAACCTTACACTTGCTTCTTGTCTTTTTGTGGGTTCAAGAGCCCGTTGATTTGTGAAGAATTTGCTGCCTTCTTATGAACTTGCTGACTTGTTCTCTTGTGAAATTTCTTGCACATCTGAATATTGTGGAAGAAACAATAAAACTACACCATGAGGAAAACTAAAGGTCTTTATTTAAAATCTGGCATTGCATTAATAGATGATTTTATATTGTGATTTTCTCCCCATACATTTCTTCAGTAGTGCTGTTTGGTAAAGCATTTCATAGTGGTTTTTGCTAGTTCCATGAGTTTTACCCAGTATTTAGTAGCATCTTTCAGCAACATCTGAATATTTCTGCTCAGCAATCTCTTATTTCTCTGAGAAAGATCTAAACATAGTTCAGAATTTCATCTTTGGTTGAGTTTCCCTTTTAACTTCCGTTCATAGACATATATGTGACTTCCAGTTCGACTCTCCGGAAAGTGAGTGTGGAAGAAAACAGCAGTTCTCTCATAGTTGTTTGAAATTAGGAAAGGACTTATTTCCTAGAAGTAAATAAATGTTTTTAAGCAAATAAAAGCCACCTTTTGTTGAGTACTGTTTCATGAATTTAAGAATGACCTATTAGTTCCTCTGCACCTTTTTTCTTAATAAAACAATGCAATTTCATAGTAAAATGACTCATGGTGAGTAACATAAATTCCTTGGTAGTTCTATAGAACTAGGGCTGATTTTGACTAGGGAAAAGATCAGTTAATAACATATGTGTTGAAAGGGACCATTAAAAAAAGTGATATTGTCTATTTATCTGAGTGTTTGCTAAACCTGAGGTAAAATAAAAATACCAAGTTATACCTTTTTTCATTCCCTTACCTCCTCCAAGACGCTGAAGATGATCAAATGAGTAGGCAGTGATGAATCATTTTGAAACTCCATATACAACCACTTTAAGGGATTTAGATAAAACATATCTGCTTCAACAAGATAATCAGTTTTTCCAGTCAGGTCTGGGGGACACTGGAGAAATCTCATTGGAAGCGGGTAGTGGACATGGCTATAAAAAGAAAGTTACCATTATAGTTAGAAGAAGTTAAAAAAAAAATTGTGCGTTTTCAAATTACTCTTAAGATACATCATGTTCACATAACAAAATGTGAAATCTGAATCTAAACTGGGTTTCGCTTAAGGTGAAGAGGCACATCTTTAATGCAGTTTTCTCAAAAAATGGAGACCAAGATTCTTATACAGTGTAGGTAGCATAACCTCAAGTCCAAACTAAAGAGTGAAACTCCCATGTGAAGGTGGGAAACTGGTCCGCAGCTTGTGGGACTAAGTACTCTCTAACATTAGTATGTGTTCCAGGGATGCAGAGGGGCTTTGGGACCAGGTATGTTACTTGTTAATAAGAGAGTAATATCTGGCAAGGTAGAAAACTGGTCATGAACCTGAAAAGATAAAGGATTCTTCATTCTTTTCTTCTTTCTGCTCTGAATTCTTAAGTGACAAGTTTTTCCTGTTTCTTTTGTTGTCCTTAAATATTTATGTATAAGTATGATTTAGTAAAAAGAACAACATGGGTTCATGGATCAAAGTCTGAATAAGTAGTGGTTTTACTGTGGCATTGGAAGATAAGAGTGTATGTAGAAAAGGTGGATTAAGCAGTTACTTGGGACATGCAAAAAGTCATGTTTACAATTTTGCCTCAGAAAAATTAAATATTTGATAGAGGTTTATTTTTATCTATGAAATGCATACAAAGTAAATTTACACAGGATGTTAATACTTCATGACTTTTACAGTTTTGAGGATGAAGGTCTTGCTTCAAGGGGAAAGCAGAAACAATTGAGAAAAGGCTGCCAGCCTTATATTTCAGAGGTGTGTGTGTGTGTGTGTGTGTGTGTGTGTGTGTGCGCGTGTGCGTGCGCGCACTCCATTGTGCATTGTTGGAAAAACCTAAGATGATAACTAGGTGAACTGTGCAAAGCCTAAGATATCAGTCACTACAACCATGTATGGGAGAGCATCATGGTACCTCTAGGATTCCTGTTCTCTGAAGTTATCACTACTGAGAATATAGGGAGAGTGAACATCCCTCTCTCAGCTTATGTAGAATGGGATCTTCAAGTTAAAGGGCTGTTTGGGGTCTTGCATCCATCTAACTGGCTTTTGCTGGACAATCCCAATTTTCCAAATAGCCTATTAATGATTGGCATTAGTGATTCAGTTAAGCAGAGTATTCCAAAAGTGTTAAATTACTATAAAATGATACCAACTTTGATACTGACTGAATGTGCACATGGAAAATTAACTTCAGATTAACTATAGATAGGTAAAGAATTTTCTAAAGGAAAGCTGTTTTCTTTGTCCTTTTATCCTTATTAGGCAATTGGTGAAGTAATATAGCTCCCTGAAATACAAGCTTAGTGTCCATGATGTATTTTTAAATGCCCTGCATAATTAAGGCACTTTCACTGTTACTTCCCAGAGACATACTTAATCCAAGCATTAGAATATCATCTAATTGAATTCCCTAACTTTTACATGCAAGACAGCTGATACCTAAAGAAATTAAAAACACCAGTTTAAGACCCAGGACAACAGTCCCCATCAGTAAATCTGGGCTTGAATCCCGTGTTCTGAGATCATTTAAAAATTATGTAAATATAAGATGTATCACAAAGATTTGTATTAAGATCAATGATACCTGACTTTTTTTTTTACTAAGTACCTTTTAAAGGTAGTATAAAATATTGTATAGGTTTATTTGATCAGAGTATTTAAATGTAAGTTGTTTTGAATATTAAAGTTTGTTTAAAAGTGGTATATTTTCATTGACATAAACAGGAGTTTCAAATGCCTTATAATCATTTGACCAGTTAATTTAAATTTAGGAATCCTAAAGGAGTTTTAAAGTAGTTTTTATAGTCATAGTGTTTAGTGAACAATTTTTATTACCTGTAATAAGGGGTAGAGTGACAAGGCATCATCATAAGTACTGAAGCTGAAGATACACTTGTATTGTTGTAAGAGAGTTCTTGAATATTAGTCATGACATCAAGAGTACCTCGTTGATGAACTAAACCAGTATAGAGGGCAAGGAGCATATTTGATAAAAACAGAAAACTTAGAGCTGGTTTCTTCCATGTTTTCAAGTTGTTTAGCGAGTATCCTATATAAAGATAGACACATTGAATGGTAACACTGGTAATTTTTTTTCTTATAGCTAAGTGAATATTAATTGCAAATATATTTATAATCTTTAATGGAAGTGTAGTACAAGCTGAAATGCTGTCATGGAAAAACATGAAATAAGCATTGGGTCATGTTTATATTTCTTTTGACTATTCACTGTCATTGTCCAGTATCGTCCAGGTCTTGACCTTTTTCTAGAAAAAGGAACTGATCTATAGCAGAAGGAGTATGGCTAGGGAGTCCAGGTTTGAATTCTCGCGTTAGCATTAGTTTCCCCATCTGCAGCAGTACCTTTTTCAAATATTAGGGGAAAATGTATGTCCAGTGCCAGTCCTGGTACATCATTGATAAATACATAGAACTTGCTTTTACTCCATTTACCTATCTCTTTAATTTCCCAAGCACTAGCGATAGATTGTGTACATGGAAGTCTCAGTAATTCTGGAGGAAATGTAACTATGTATTATTCTTAAAAAAATATACCACTAGGCTCCTGGGAGATTTTCAGTGGTCAGTTTGTGAGTGGTGGCATGGATCTCTTTCTGGAAGTAGATTTATGTTTGTTTGTTTTTTTTCTTTCACTATTGTGTTGGGCAGTTTGGAGATGCTGGACAATTAAGAGGGTATAAGTGATGCCTCTGAGCATGGTAATGGGAGGGAGGGCAGGGGAACCAGTTCTGTAACACTGGTTATCTGACTTTTGAAACAGCACCGAGTGTGGTTTTGCTAAAAAGATTAGCATATGGAAAAACAAAGTTGCCTAATCAGAGACAAGCAGGTCTGCAACGGCCACTGTAGTAAAAACATATTAAGCAGAAACCCAACCCAGAACTGGAAACAGCTCAAATGACAGAAGTTCAGTCTAAGAATTTCAGTGTTATTGGACTAGTGACAGCTTGCTTTTACAGGTAAGGAAACTGAGGTACCAACATTCTGATCTAGAATTACGGTGTTTTGGGTAGGATTGGGGGAAGTTCAAATTAGGCAAGAGAAGTTACTGAAGATTGAAAAAACAGCTGCAGTTATTTCTCTTCCTGTGTCCTGTCCCCACACTAGCCTGAAGTTTGTCATCTCTTAATCTAGCTTGGCTTTGTGACTTGGTTTGACTAAAAACGTGGTAGAAGTGGCAGTGTGCCGGTTCCATGCTGGGGCCTCCCTCGGATCCACACCTACACCCAGCTTGCTCAGCACCAGACAGCCTGCTGGAGAATGAGCGCCCACAAAAGAGCTGAGGTACCCTGACCAATAGCCAGCTGAATCCCAAGGATTTGACAGCCCAGCCTCTTTCAGCAGAGCTGCCTGCCTCCTCCTCAGCTGATAATATTTGCATAAGTGAGCTGAGTGGAGAACCACCCACATCAGCTGTCAATTTGTAAATAATAATTGTAAGCCACCAAGTGTTGAGGTGACTTGTTACACTGCAATTGCCAATAGAATTGTCATGTTTATATAAAATCAGGTTAAAATAGGTCACATAAGAATAGAGTAAAAACAGATTTGAGGTACAATATAACTCAAGATTTCAAGTGTCTAGAAAAGAAAACTGGGCCAGAAAACTGTGCCATTTAAAACATCTGGAACTCCAAAGAGACTGTTGTCTGAAATCATTCCTGAACTTGCAGACTTTGGTCTAGGTGAACTCACTACTTAACTGGTCTTGTTGTTGGAACTTGGCATAACAGTTCTAATTCTTAGTGGAAGTACAAGTCTCCAAGGAATCAGAATTTTTGGCTCACCCAGTAATCTTAGGTACACGTGTCTGAGGGAAAAGCTCACATCCTGTGAGAGGATCAGGGGTTTTTCTAAGTCTCTATCCTTAAAGGATCTTTCTGAATGGACATAAGATGGAAGAAAGGCAGATTCTTTTCATTAGAAAGATGTCTCTTCAACCCACACCAGCATTTTATCTCAGTGTTTGGGACTGGAAACAGTTTACCAAGACCCTCCCCCTTAAAGATTGACTCTCTTGGAATGGAAATGAGGATTTAGACAACTCAGTCTTTAAAACACTCTGTAAAGACACAGAGCAGAGAAATAGTATGCTGGGGAAACCAGATTATAAAAATGTAACCAAGTTCCTAAATTAACCAAACAAAACAAAATGTGCACAGAAATATTTGTCCTCCAGTAGTATCTGGCAGTGTTCACCTGGGTGAAAAGTAAACAATTATAAGTAACTCAAGTGGTTGTTAAAAAAGAAAAAAAAAAAAAACCTAAATCCGAATAGTAATTTATGAACAGAATTGTTGTTAAATGGTCCCACTATTCTAAAGACTTGCCAAATAGCTCTTACATGCTTATATTTTTGTGTCTGCATCTGTAGATGAAATAAGACTATAAAAATACTATATGACACTAACTTTGGTTTCAGTACTTTAGATATTTCAGATGTATAGACATGT